AATCGCTAATCGTTAATCGCTAAGCGTAATCGTTAAGCGTTCTAAATTCTACTCTAATAATAACTAAATAAGACTAAATGATAATAATAAAATAAATAATAATAATAATTATACAATATCGGAATAATAATCTAATAAAATAATAAACTGTTCTATAACAACTCTTTTCAAAAAAACAGAAAAATAACTCAAGTAGAAGCAGATAAAATGGGAGCGAGCTAGATACTGATAGATGAAGAAAAAGAGAAAGTCATTGATGAAGGATACCTTGAAGCAAGAAACTGGCCATCTTCAATTAAAGCAGAACTACTGGGAATATAGTGTGTATTCTTAATTACATTAAGGAGAAAGAAAATAAAGATCTATTTAGATAGTGCAGCAACTTTAGCTAGATTAGAAATTAGAAATTAGAATAAGCTGGCTAGATAAAGACTAAAAATAGGAAATTATAACTTAGTAAAATATATTATTGATATAGTAAAAATGAAGGAAGTACAGTTAGAATTAGAAAAAGTAAAGAATATAGTAGAAATAAGTAAAATAATATAGCAGATAAACTGGCAAAGATAAGATCTAGAATAGTAGATAGAGAAAAAATTATAAATAAACTCTTGCAAGATCAAATGTCTTTTTATGTTGAAAAGAAACAATAGTAGAAGCTTTATAAGAGAATTTTTACTTCTAATACTTGAGCTCAAAACAGAGATAGAATGAAAATTCACATCAGCAATTAAGAAAATAGAACTCAACGACTAGTGCTTCTAATAAATAGGTCAGGTCAGGTTTGGGGTCATCTTACAACAATCTGGGTTATAACCTGAGTTTACAAATTTGCAAATCTTTCAAATAAACAATACTATTTTGTGTTTATTTTGTATTTATTAAAATATTACTGTATTATATGAAATTACATGCAATCAAAATAAATTAATTATAGAATTTAAAGATTAAATCTTTCTAAATAAAGTTATACAATGATTTTATGCTCTAATAATCTAAATTATTTTGCTATGCAATTTCCCCTTCTCTAACATAATATAAGAATAAAAACTGTTTTATAATCTAGTTAAAAATGTTTATTTGATATTTTTAAAAATATTATCACACAGTACTATAACGATATAAAGATAATTCTTTCTCTTAATTTCTTTCTTTTTAATTTTTATTTATTAATTTTTTTCTTTTATTGATTATACAATACATAACAATAATTTATTTACATAGCAATAGTTTATTTTTAATTTATTTACATAACAATAGTTCTAATTTATTTATGTAAATAGTTTATTTTATTTACGTAATTGTATATGCTAATTAACTCAGGTTATATACTGATCAAATGGGGTCGGGTTATCAAACAGGTTGAATAGTACAACCCTGTTTAGTTAGGAGCACTACCAATGACAATAAACAATTCCAATATTGGTCTATTTTATAGAAAAAGATAAGAAACTAAAATAGAGTTAGATATACAAGCACAAAAAAGAACAGGCATTTGGGAGTGCTAGTTAAATGCTTATATGAAAAACTCTCAGTTCTTAAAACCTTGGTGGCTAAAAGACCAGATCTATATAACAGCTCAATATATAAATTATGTGCAAGAGAAGAAGAAGATCAAGAACATTTACTTCATGTGAGAAATATAAACCAAGTGGATAGAAGCAAAACAGCTAATATCAAACTTGATTTAGACAACTCTCTCAGAAGAATTCTACAGTTGTCTTGATAAAACTCAACTTAAAAACTCTCTTTGGAGTTCAATAAAAAAAGAAAAAAATGAGACAAAAGCTAACATTCTCAAAAGACTAATTAAAGACAGAATTACAAAAAAAATTCTCGAATTGGTGAAAACTCTAAAAGAAGCCAGAAACTACCTTAACATGGCAATTAACTCAGCCTGAAATTATTTTTATGAAAATATTTAGAAACAAAGATGCACATTCATTAATGACTAGGAAAAGAAAAATGAAATAAACTCGAAAGAAAAGAAGAAAAAAGACCAAAAAGTAGAAAAACAGCTACCAGCAGTAAGAAGGCAAATGTAAATTGTGAGAAATATAGTCAGAACCAAGAGCAAACCAAGGAGAAAGTTAAAAAGAAAGAAGAAATCAATAAAGAGGAGAAAGCTGATAAAAAAGAAATTACTTGGTTTACTATGATTAAAAACTATTGTAAATAATGTGAAACCATTTTGATATGACTTCTATAGCTAGCTTGGTGCAGCCCTCCGGTATATGCAGTAGCCTTAACCGGTGAAGCAGACCATCCTTGAACGCCCCTAGAGGTAGCCAGGGAATGTCAGATCTACAACTTAGATAGTTATATATATGTATATATATGCTTTGATCTAATAAAGATACCGGCGAGGCTGCCAATAAATTTAAAAAATAAAAAATAAAAAAATGATAAACACTATAAAATGAGTTTTGAGCTTGAATAGCTTTATTCGAATAACCGATTATCATATTCACAAAATAAATTAATGCGAATAAATAAATCTAAGAAATACAAAATGAAAGTAAATGCTATGAATTTGAGTAGTTTATTCAAAAAACCGATTAATAAAAAGGTTTTTATATTAGGCCATGCAAATTTAATTGTTTCTCATAACCCGGCCAGGTCAAATTTTGGAAACTTTTGAAAAAAATTTTTTTATATCATGGGGTTTCTAAAATTTTATGTTATGAGAAACAAACAATTATCTAATAAAAATAAATAAAATTAAATGAGAAATGTAGTAGCGAAATAAATTTTAGATTATATTTACCCACATAACGGAAAGGGAAGACCCGTAAATTTGACTACTTTTCATATCAATCGCCACCAAAAGATTTCAAGATCAGATGTAACGTTACACGATCAGGAAATTTCAAAACAAACGTTCGTTTTATCAAAAGTCGAGATTTTGCATAGGAAACCACCTTCCGTGCATTAACAAAAAGTTTTCCTTGAGCGATTTTACTATTAAAATTTCTAAACCCAAACCTTAACATAGACCCTAACCCAAACCTAAATGAGCTTTAAAGAATTTTACCGAATATCACGTGTAACTTTTTGAACCCTAAAGAATCCAAACCTACATGACTTGCTCTTAATGTCACTTTTTCTTTAGTAAATCCGTTTGATGCCAAGTAATAGTATTATCGAAGTGACTAGAAAGATCAACTGTAGATATATTGGATCATACATAATCATTGTGGATTAATTTTACAGGGACTGGTTCAATAAGGTGAAAAGAACGTTAATGTTACACATATATTAAACTGGTGAGGGATTATATCCATCACAATTGAATCCAATATAAATAATTTAATTTGTGATTGATCACAGGAGAGAGGAATTCACTCTGGATCGGGCACTGTCTCTGCTGTTTGGTGAAAAAGTCTTACTACGTTTCGCATACGTCATACTAACCTACTAACCCTACTACCCGTACGGCACTACGTAAATTTATCTCAAGGGTAGTACAGCTCATACGTCATGACCGTAGCGCCATGGGTAGTGGCTACCCTGAGAAATGTCCGCATCTTTTAGTTGTAACACGGTACTTGGTCGATATTAGAAAATTTATTGTTGATTGAGTTGATTGAAACATTTACATCATAATATCACCAATGTTCGTGATGCCACTCATATAATCATTTTTTTGCAATACTAATCTTTTTGTCGGTGGCGAATGTTGTCGTAGTTTTATGCCAGCTTCTTTAAGAAGCTTAGAGGTCAAATCATCCATACCATAGGTCCTTTAAGATTTGTGCATAAACAATTATACATGCATTTGAATCAGTAATTAAATGGAATGAACGTTACAACAATAAAGATTTCATAATACTCATTCCTACTTGTTATAGACAACTTCAGTAACTCCCGATTGAATTAATTTTACCGAGCATCCTTAAGATATTCAATTATAAGACCTAATTACATAAAAATCGATGAAAGCATATTTACATACCAAGACACGGACACCTTTATATATAAAAAAAAAAAAAAAATATATATATATATATATATTAATTAATCTTGTGCTTTCAGAGATCAAAAATTCAATTATATTAAATAATATATGAAATTCTCATGCTTATTTTTAATTTGATCATATCGACCCATACTCACGTATTACAATAAAGAATGCTACCTCGTCCAACTCTTTCCCTTCCGGCTTCCAATAATGCATTTTCTTCTGCATGTAAGCATAAACATGTATCCAATTCTTTTCCACATGGGACCGCGTCATTACAACGTTCGCAACCACCTTGATTACAATTCTTTAGACCTCTTGCTGTACCATTATATCCAGTCGCGATTACTCTAAAGTCTTTAACTAATATACAGCCGACCCTACGTTTCATACAATTGGATCTTAATGCTGCCAGATCTGATAAATGCATAAAATATGTGTCCCACGAAGGTCGCAATCTCTCAGAATTAGTAATATTGAGAGCATGAAGATGCGCGTAGAGTAGCTGTAATGATAAAAAAGAATTCACGACGGTGAGATCGGCCATAATCATTAGATTATAAACTGAAGAGACTGAAAAGTCATCCGAATTTAGTGCGTGATCTTGATCACTTTGTACAAATTCATTTGTTGGTGCGACTATTTTAAATAATCTCTTATCATTTTCGATCACGAATCTTTCTAAAGTTGGTGGCTGATGACCTAATTCTTGACTGCTTTTGCATTAAAATTTAATCAATCACCGATAATTGAAATAGTTCATTAAGAGGTAGTGGCATTTTCAAATTAATCCTCACCGCGCCAGGCACCTTTGATATCGGATTGTCAATGGACCATCCACAGCCAATAATAAGAAAAAAGGGCGTTTCCTATTGAGAAAAAACATTGTTAAAATTGATGATAATTTAATAACTTGAATTTAAAGGATTAGATACGAAAATTACCTATATGTTTCTAATACGTATAGAGTATCAATATCGCAAGTTACAAAATCATCTATCCAATTTTTTGTGACATATTCTAAAAGGCCGTCTGGCGTTTCAAAGTGTAACGCGTCAAGTCTATAATTGTCATTGCCTCGAAGAGTGAGGGGTGTAAATCCATGCACAGAAACAAGCCATTCAGCAATAGTATGTTTTCCGGAACAAATGGTACCCGTTATTCCAATAAACATAATCAAAAACTCTAGTTATCTGAAAAGTACGAAATAGTAAAGTATTTTTCGCAACTGTTTCCAAAATTATTAATCGTGCGCGTACAAACTTTGCCGGTACCCAGAAAATTTCCATCACGATCATCGGAATTTGGGTCAAATTTTACAGTCAATAATAAACGAAACTTTTCTCGCAACCTCATTATATAGTTTTTTTTTTTTTTTACTAGTAATTTTATACACACATCTCTTTTTAAGATGGATGTTTTTTATTTCTCATATTTCTCATTATTTTTACAGACGCATAATTATGCCATACAAAATTAATCCCTTTTAAAAGTTATCGTTATTTTTTTTATAGACAGGAAAAAACCGGGTCGGCGGATCACTTAAAAATTTTTATCGGAAATTTTCTGGGTCTCTGGTTGACAGATATATAAATTACTCTTATTTTTTGCTGGATCTTTTTCAATTTTCCAGAAAATGATTAATAGCAATCTACCGCTTATCAAGAATGTGAATCAATCTTCTTTTGATATATTGAATTGTAAACGAAGATTGGATCAATTCTTTATATATGCTAACATTAATACAAACCAAGTTTTATTAACTATAGGAAGAAATTTAAAGGTATTTATTTAATTAAAGTTAAAGAACAGTAAGACAACTAAACGTGTTTAAATTAGCGGTTTTCCTCGTTTGTAGAGCAGATATTTAAAACAAATCAAAGATGTAAAACTACGCCCACATAAAATTCGCAGAGATTTTTGGAAACCCATCATAGCAGTAACGGGTTTCTCTAGTTATGGCTCTGTAACAGCCACTAATAACATAGTTCAGGATAAACTTGACAGATATCCAAAACCGCCCAATTATAAACAAACTGCTCGAAAAATTCGACAAATTGAAGACATGGACCAAATTGATAAAAGTGTTTGTAATTTATGTTACGCGTTAAATAAATTGGGATTGAAAGGCATGGAAAATAATGAAACTAGCAGAATTAAAATTTTTTGGGAAAGAGAAGCTTTAAAATATGTTCCAGCACAAAAAGCCGGTTTGGAGTGGCCTAGATTTGTCGTGCATAAAAAGCTGCTTTTAGATAGAGGAAGGTTGATGATGAATAGTGAATTTGGACCAAAGCCGTTTAAAGTTAGGCAAGCTTATAAAGAGGCAAAACTAAAAGAAAAAGCGACAAAACTCGAAGAAAGATTGAAAAGAATTCAATTGAAGAGAGAGAAAGGTGGTATTAAAAGCATTGGCGTCATGAATATACTCATAAGAAGGAAATCAATTGGGGAAAGCAAAACCAATGCTTCTGAACTGAGTTCTCTTTCAGAATCTGATCATTAACTGTTACAATAAAACATGGCTAATTAAAACCTTTATCGTATAAAAGTATAATTTTTTTCTATGTAATTTTAAAAAAAAAATTTACCATATTTTTGTGCGATAACGTCCATGGGTACTATTTCGTCAAAGATCTTTAAAAATAAAACTATGGTTCGAATTCTGTTAAATTAATTACCTCTTTAATCTCTTTAATATGCATGTCTCAAAATCACACCCATGAGCGTTATTTCGCGCAAATACAGTAATAAATCAATAATGTGTATACTTTTACAATAATTTTATCATTAATATTTTGGATAAAATTTTGGATTAGGGTTGAAGCTAAAATAAGACCAGTAATTAGAGATTAAAAGTCAGGGTTAGGATGAAGTTATAAATGGGTTTTTTGGACGACAGTGTTGTTATTTAGTCCAATTTTATATGTCCAATTAAAAAATTACTATAGTCACACTGTTGGACGATGAGCATTTTGCTTGGAACGTCAAGTATTAACTATTTAGCTAGTTTTTGATATATCATAACTGTGGTGTAAACACTATTGGAATGATTTAGTAGAGCTGATTCTAACAACAATAAATTTTAAAATTATAAATTAGATATTTATTAATAATAAAAGTATATGACAATTATCAATTTGCCACGTCTGTATAATAATACAAAAGATCTTAATATGGCAGAACATAATATAATTAATCTGGTAGTTTTTTTTAGTAGCACTGAATCCTTTCCCAAAAAATTATCCAATTAAATGAAACAAACATAAATTTACAACTCGGCAACATAATTACCTGAAAAAAAAATATATATCAATTAGCAAAGTAATTCTAGGCTAGACCATAGGATAAGAATTTAAATCTTAAAATTACCAGGAAATACACCTGTAACACCATTCAACTTTCCTGTCCACCAATCATTCACGTCCGCAGTTCGCTCGATAACTTCAATTTTATCATCTTTCCGGAAAGATAAATCTCCTTCAGCAGTTGCCTCGTAATCATACAAAGCAACTACATATCGTACAAGTTTTGGCTTTCGGGAAACAGGTGGCGGTGGTGGTGGCACTTTTGGAGTCGGATAAAGTTTTGAATTAGTTTTTACAGGCGTAGGAGTGTATGCAGGAGGCTCATCATCCTCATAGTGATGATCTTCATTGGAATAAATCGGCGTACGTCCTGCAGAACGTGCGCGCGCAGATTCTCGAACAGGACTTTGTTTACGCGAACTCTCTTTTCAACAAATTGGTAAAATATAAGTCAATTACAAAAATCAGTACGTAAAAATATAAATATTATAGCAATAACGCACCATTCTGTTTCTTATCACGTTTGCCTCGTTTAATCAATGTTATATCTTCCAATTGTTCCTTGGCATCAACTATTTTCTTTTCAAAAGCATCAACTATATCAGATTCGAAATCAAAGTATCCTAATTCTGCTAATTGTTCAAATTGCTCGAATAAAAATCCATAAATTCTCAATTGCATATGATAAAAACATTCAAATATTGGCTCGATGAATTCAATTCTATATTCGAAAAAAAGAGGTAACTCTCTTTTTAACATGTCATTATAGTGTTCGTATTCTTGCGTTGCATGTTCAAGTTGATCTTCATACTATCAATAAGAATGAACGTAAATATAAGTATAATTACCCAACAAATCTATTCAAAATTTAATACCTTATGTAATTGTTTTTCCTCACTCAATGATTTATCCTTCTTGTCATTGAGCTTTTTAACACTATTTTGGAATCGATCGTAGTCAACTTTTTTATGCTCACGTTTTGTTATAGTCTTTTTTATTAATTTGATAATATCTAAAAATTCCGAAGCTGGAATGATAATCCTACGATCTATAGAATCCTAATGGATTGTTAAATACTTTTAATCAATGTCAAAATTTTTGATTCATTTAATAATCTTGGTTGGAGTTGGAAACTCACCAGTTCTGCTAGTATAGTATCTCTCACTTTAGACATCAATTTTGCATACTCTTCAGCGGCTTTCATAGTTTGGGTCGGGGTATTCACACGACGGGTTACTGCTCCTTCTGATGCTCCTCCAGGAGTAATCGGTTTATATAATTCGACAACGAGATCGGCAAAATTTGCTTGATGATTCAACATATCTATAAATTGTTTTTTAATAAGCTAAAATAAAAAATAAAAACAAATAAAAAAAAGCGAACATAATCTAACTAACTTGAAATTCCATCTCTAAATTTTCTAGCATCACTATGTAATTTTTCGGTTTGCTTGGTCAACTCACTAAATCTAGTTTGTATATCGTCAAACCGAATATCCTTTGTTTCTGTTAAATAAAATTTTGTAAGCCTCAATGCGCTATACCTTTTCTTTGTAGTCTATTTAAATTCTACGCATTTTCATGTTTAACAAGCAATTCTGCGCGTTGATAATCTATTAAACCTTTCCTTAAATTACTAAGAAAACTAATGCATGCCTGTTCGAAGACCCGTTTTTGCGGCTATTCTTTGCGGTAAGCGACCGAATGCCTTTGTTGTACCTTTCCTGCATTAAACCGGAAAAAAGGTTAATTGCAGTGTTTAAATTATAAATCGACATATTTCAACCTTTACCAGCTCATTTTTCTTTTAGAAATACTATATATTTATTCATCGATTCGTTCGTTATCAGTTAATCATTTTAAAGTTTATTAAATCCTAATGACGTGATGTGGTGCGTAAGAAATTGACCAACCAGGGATTTGACTATAGATGCTGGTGAAACTGGTGAAACTCTTGGTGAATGGTGGTGAAACTGGTGAAACTGGTGAAATTTAATATAACAGCCAATCAGATTTTAGATAGTCACCAGTTTCACCTGCATTATTTAGTTTCACAGCATCTATAGATTTGACCAAATATAGATATCGATTCTGGAACGTTCCATGGGAATTCCCTAAGCAATAATTGCTTTTTGGACTAACTGTATAGAGAGAATCCATAGTTATATTGTATATCAGTTAACTGATATGTCACACTGTAAATTTTTATATAAAATTATGGATATTACGTAGAAAAATATTTTTTACTTAATATATAAAATCGATTTGCTTAATAAAATTTTGCGTAAATTAAAATTTTAATTGGTGATATGCCAGTCAACCAGAGAGAGGTCATAGTGTAACATGACGCTAGAAATTAGAGTTTTGCGAATTTGAGCTGTTTAACTTAGTACGAAAAAAAGTTTTAGATAGAAGCAGCTCACATTCGCAAAACCCTAATTTCTATATATAAACTGTGTACTTTACACTATAACCACTCTCTGGTTGACTGGCGAATCACCAATTAATCAATAAGTTATAGTTATTGTCCACAAAGTGGGCAATAACCAAAAATTAAATCCGGATCAGATGATCGGATAATGACGGAACTATGAAAAAATTGTACAGAAGTATAATAAGAACTGGAGAATAAATTTTTTTTTAAATTTGAGTCAAAGTAAGATAGCTTACTATATATCAGTTATACAATATGTTACAGTATAAATTTTTGTATATATAAAACTATAGAAAAACATATATAATTATATATAAACTTTGTTGTGATGATGTTTCTTCATTTATATATACCTTTAAATTAAATTTTACAAATAAATACATTAAGAAAAAAAGAAAAAATACATTTTAAGCCAAATAAAAATTTTGCGATTTTAAACAATTTGAAAATATAACTGTTAAAAAAATTTAATAAATTTAAAGTAATAATTATATGTAAGATTATATTCTGAACAGCTTCAATCTAGCTGTACAAAAGGGTTATCTTAGTAAAAAAAAAAGTTTTTTATATACTAATGTCAAAATTTTTAGTTTTTCTATATAAAACTTTTTTCTACTTAAATAACCTTTTCCGATCCTTTAAGCAAATTTGTTTAATATATAATTTTATATATTTTATATCTTACTGATTTTGTTTTTTTACACTTTTTACTAAGTGAAAAATTGAATCAAAAGGTATACAAAAAATTTTTTTAAAAAATTTTTTTTTATTATTAGTATTGTCATTGATATTACAGTATTAGTGTTATTATTGGTATAATTATTAGTATCATCACAGATGTTGCTTTAAGTGTTATTATTAGTGTTGCTGAAGATTTTTTTTTGGTGGGTGGTTTTGTATATTTCTTCAATAATAGTTTTGTATATTTTTTTAGTAGTAGTCTTGCATATTGTTGTTAGTATTATTATAGGTGTTATTGCAGATGTTGTTGATGTTATTGTTAAATTTTCTTTTTAGTAAATAGTCTTGTACATTTCTTTGGTATATTCTTTATAATAATTTTGCATGCTTTTCTGTAATGGTTTTCATTACTACTCTGTTAGATTTTTTTGTATATAGTTTTGCATGTTTCTTCAATAGTAGCTTTGCACATTTTATCAGTAATGATCTTGTACATTTCTTCAGTAGTAGTTTTGCATATTTCTTCAATGGTTTTGTTTTAGCTTTAATAAGCAATCCATCTGAGACCTGAACATAAAATTTTTTTTTATATAAATTTTACTATAAGTACGAATGTGTAGCACCCTATCTAAAACTTTTTTTTTACTAAATAAATCACTTTTGGACTTCTAACAGAAATTATAAAGCTGAGTTTGGGCCCTATAGTTTAGCAGTTAAGCTGCCAAACCCCCACAGACTAAGTCGACGATTCAAGTCGAGCTGGAGGCAAAATCTTAGGATTTTTAGCTTCTGTAACCCAATAGGGAGCCATAATTGAATACAGAGCCCTGTGGTTAAGTCCAAGTGCAAGTACGAAACCAGAAAAGAAAATTCTTGGAAGGAGGTCTAATTGTGGAGTGGTGGCACTACGTATGACAGGTTATGAAAGATTCTGTTATACAAATAGTTGTACATATTAGTCCTCGATTAGGGGTAATCGGGGCAGCACCAACATCCTTAGTGGTTGGGGTACTTGATTGAGAAAGTGACACGATGGTAACAAAACTGGAGTAGTGAGAAAAGTGGTGAATACGAGGATGACTTG